AATAAATAAATTTCTACAACAGTGAGTAAACAGCAAAGAAAGGTACGAAAGTATTGCTTGAAATGTTTTTTAAATGCATGCTCTTCATACAAGTACTATGTATGTACTTGTTGACATTACTGAAAATCCAATCAAATGATTAGAACTTATACAGTGGATCACTGTGTTGTCAGCAGGCCCATGCTTGTAAATTCTCCCCCCAAGAATTAAGTTTTTCCAGATAGTGTGCATGGTAGGTCCACTTTTGATGGCTAGTGGCTCTTCCTGGTTGTTTTTCTAAATTCTGGAGTTTCCCTCCTTCCCTGAAGGGGATGCTGTGGTCGTCCAGAACCCATTTCCTCCTTGGTTACTCTCTTGCTTGCAGGAAGAATGGGACAATAGCAGAAGGAAAGGTTTCTGGGAAGGGTCTGGGAAAGAACTAAGCAGCAAGAAACTTTCTCATTTCTGTTTTCTTCCAGGGTGGGTTGTTTCTTTTGACTCATCACCTTCTCCAAATCTTGTAGTAGGAAATAACTGAGAGAAGAGGTCTGGATGGATTCCAAGTCAGGTGGAATCCACTTTCTCAGCCCAACCCATTGTCCAGAGCTCTTCTTGTTGGAAAAATAGGAGGGGGGAGTACTACGTATGCCCCCTTGAGCTCCTGTGCAAAAAAGGCAGGATATAAATTAAATAAAGATTAACTGTGAATGCTGGTAGCACTGCCATCTCAAATATATGCTCTAGCCCTTATCTAAAGTCGCACCTAGCTATGAATACAAGGTTAGGGGACTAAACAAGGGGGAAAAAAACTTTCCTCTTTTCCTAGATGTGGTTAACAATCTTGGGAGTTTGGTTGTGAATGTTTTGGAATATAGTATGTTTAGGCAGCAGACATACTTGGAAATATGCCCCATTGAATTCAGTGGGATATGACTTTAGGCGTAGGATTGCAGTCTATGTTGATTTACGAGTTGCATTTCAATGACTTAATTTTGCCAAGTATTAGGTGGCCTCTCTGTAGTATGAAATAGAGAATTTGGACATTTTATATAGATATGTGTACTACCATTCTCCACAAAAGGGAGAGGTATTCATTTTTACAACATTCATTTCCTTTTCCTTATGCCTTGTTCTAGGAATATATCACAAGCAACATTATACACTCATAGGTACAGGCATGTGACCTGAGCTTTCAGGCTAAAATGTGCCCTAACCCAGTGTTTCTCAGCCTTAGCAACTTTAAGATATGGGAACTTCAACTTCCAGAATTCCCCAGCCAGCTGGGGAACCTTTTAATTTTTGAAAGTTTTCTATTATTATTCTGTCAATTTAAATGAAATGTTCCTCTCCAGATTTTAAAATATAGTCGGTAATTGTGCATATATAGTTGCTGCATTGGTATAAATTACCTGCATGGGTAATTTATCGTTACCCTCTTAGGGTCTTGCAATTTCACTAGGATGTACTGAAACTGAATAGCTCAATGTACGTAGGTTTGTGTATGTGTCTGAAAAAGAATGTAAGTGTGTGTGTGTGTTTATATGCCTATGGGAATATGTTTATAAATGTGAGCATATTTTATATATTTTGAAGTAAACATGTGAAAATGGTTTTCTTTGGCAATATCGCCAGGGTTTTGAGAAGCTGCTACTAGAATGCATGGAATGAGTCTGCTCATCTGTTTGCTCCCTATTTTGAGCAACTTATAAGTTCACAGTCCAATCATGTTCTTTTATTTACTTAATTGTTTAGTTTTCTGCCTTTGAGTCTGTGTTGACTCCTGGCGACTGCCTGGATAAGTCCCTGCAGTTTTCTTGGCAAGGTTTTTCGGAAGTGGTTTGCCATTGCCTTCTTCCTAGGGCTGAGAGAGAGGGACTGGCCCAAGGTCATTCAGCTGGCTTTGTGTCTAAGGCAGGACTAGAAATCTCAGTCTTCCAGTTTCTAGCTTGGTGCTTTAATTACTACACCAAACTGGCTCTCACGCAATCATGTTATGGGTCTACATAAAAGTAAGTTCTGACGAGTTCTTGAAGGGGATACTGAATTGCATCTTCAGGCCACTTCGCATGTGACTTTCATGTACTCATTGAAGAAGCCTCCTAGAAAATTGCAGCAGACCACCAGGGATCCAGTGTTGCCATTGCCAGGCCTTATCTATCAATTCAAAACGGATGTTTTCAGGGCCAGCCCAAGGCATTTGTTTTCTGAACTGAAGGCCAGGATGTTTCTTTCCCTCCATGCCACATACAGAAGCAGACTGAACTAGAAGTTGAAGTGTACAGTACTTCAGTGCTGGTAAAGTGCTTCTGCCTGAGATTACTGTCTTACTCTATCCAATAATAGAATTGATCTTGTATGGTTTCTGTGGTTTCCTCTACATCAAAAGTAACCTCTTATTGACATGGCAGTGCTTTGTATTACTTAGTTCTGTTATACCCATCACCTTCTGTCTTTTTCTCCGTGTCTCCACCCCAGAAGAACATGAAAGATGGCATCCATGTTTCGGAGCGAAGAGATGTGTCTGATGCAACTTTTTCTTCAGGTGGAGTCTGCCTATTGCTGTGTTGCAGAACTTGGAGAGCTAGGTCTCGTCCAGTTCAGAGATGTGAGTAGACATTAAAAGTAACCCAGGTGACACTTCTCAGTACCCATAGAAAGGGTGGGAATTTCTTGTATAGCAGCAAGAACTAGTAAATTGTAGAAGTTAAAGATGCTGGACTAGGACTAGGGAGGTCCTGGTTTGAATCTGCCCTCAATCAATCACTATCTCACAGTCCAGTTTGGCTTACCTAAATCAATTGAGACCCTCAAGTAAACTGCCTTTAGCAGAGAAAAAGGCATGATATAAATTTAACAAGTAAGAACGACAAGAACTGCAACAAGAGCAAAGGAGGAAGAAAAAGAAGAAGGTGTTGGAAAGAGAAAGCAGTGTTAGAAAAAGAAGAAAAAGGAGTATCCCAGAGAGAAAGATTAGCTCCACCCACTTTGGGACCTGGCTCCACCTACTACTTGTTTCAGTCCCACCTACTGTTGGCATGAGGTGCCCAACAGTTTATTTGTAAGGGAATGTGATTCTTGATAAAATGAAATGGTGGCCTTTGCTCATGTAATACGCTCTCCTTTTGTGAGTTGAAAATGTACAATCTTGAATATTTTATAACCTTGTATAGCAGAATGCTGAGATAACAGATCAGTAGTGACAAGCAAGTTGTATTTCTGGGAAATTCCTTTATTGCTGATTTTTTTTTTTAAATTGGGGACATCTTCAAACATTTGGGAGAAGAAAAAACACCAATAGAATATAATTTTGAAATCACTAAGAATAAGAGGAAAGAATAAATCAAATGGGAATGGTATTATGTAATCTTCTTTAAAACCAAGTTTAAAAAATCACAAAAAAGATGTGTTTTTCAGAATTCTTCTCTGCATTAATGTACTACACAAACAAAAAACAAATCTATGCAAAATAAGGGTAGAGAGGAAGATGTTTGTGTTATGGAACATGATATGTAGTGTAGTGTATTCATAAGATGTTGATTTAGGGTGCTCTTTGTGGACTGTTCATTTAGTTTGCATTCAGTGCCATTGTGTTTCATTGTATCCAAACACAATAGATGTAGAATAAATTGCTATTCTAGTCTTAGTTAACTCTGTTTTCAACATGACTTTCTTGAAAGAAGGGAAATAACATAAGTATAAAGTAGTCATTTAAGTAGGTGTCATCAAGTCAGGCCCAAATCCTGGTGACCCTGTGGATCAGTGCCCACCATCTTGGTCTGTCTCCAGTGATAATCACTGGCTGGATCTTCCAAGGACATTCCACTGATTCACTCTATCTCTTTCATTCTTTGTCTCTCCATTCTTCTACTTCCCTCGACCTTGCCAAGCATAGTTCCTTCTAATTGATTATTTGCTTATATCACATGCTTAAAGTATGTGAGCTTACTGATCTTTGCCTCAAGGGAGCAGTTGTCCAAGACCAATTGATTCATTCTTCTTGCTGTCCATGGTACTTTTAATAACCATTTCCAAATCCATAATTTGAAGGTGTCTATCTTCTTTCTCTCATTCTTTCTCAATATCCAGCATTCACAATTTAACACCAGAAAACAATTGCTTTTATTATTCTGATCTTTTTGTCCTAGAAATATCCTTATCCTGCATTATCTTTTCTAAGATAGTCATTGCCTTCTTTCCTAGGATAAATCTCCTCTTTATTTCTTCAGCACACTATCTTTCTTTATCAATCCTTGACTCCAAGAAAGTAAAGTTATCCACCATCTTGGTTTCTTTGCTCTCTGTTGTGCCTTTGCTAGGCATACTGGTTGACATCTTTTTCTTCTTAATATGGAACATCAATTTTTTTCACTTCCTACTTTTACTTTCAAAATGAGCTCCCCTAAGCCTTCCTTACCTTCAGCTAACAAAATGGTATCATCTGCACATCTGAGATTGTTTGGACCTCCAATTTTGCCAATGGCAGCCATTCCAGTCCTGCCATTCTTATAGGTATCTGCTACATCTATTAAAAAGATATAAAGATCATATGCCTTCTTATCTCAACTCTTCTCTAAATCACTCTGTTTCTCCAAACTCTTTAAGTACAGTAACTTCTTGTTCATTGTAATGATTCCTCAGAAGAAGAATTGGATGTTCTGGTATACCCATTCACTTTACAGCATTAATTTGGGAATCAATGTTGCATGATACAGTGAGTGTAGATCTCACCATTACTAAATTATCTTGTGCTTAGCAACAAATCTGTTTTTCCCTCTTAGACAAAGTTCTATCATTAAATGACAGAAAATTATCTTCCTAAAATTCTAAGAATTACCTATGTAGAAAGCTAAATACCAGATTCTACTCCTTATTTAGAAAATAATAAGGGATTTAAGGGAGCCTTTGTTTGTTATCTACAATCAGGGCAATATATTACATGAGAAGGAGAAGATATCAATGGCCTATAGAATTATGGATATGCAATTATGTGTATTTCTGTCATCAGTTAAAACAGTCATTCTTTAGATGTATAGGCCTTTTAAAAAGTTATTTGCCTGCCATCTGGTTGCACAAGATTTTGGTTATCATATCCTCCATGGTGATACTGTTTGAAGAAATAATTTTACTTTGACCTGCTATTGGTATGTCCAGCTGAATCCCTTGATATGTACCTCTACCAAATCTTCATGACTTCAGCCTTCCCCAGTTTGGTGCTATCTGATGTGCTGGAACCATAACTCCTAGAATTCTCAGCCATCAGTCTGTTTAGATGATAGATAGATAGATAGATAGATAGATAGATAGATAGATAGATAGATAGATAGATAGATAAGTTGCTTTGGCTAATCTTTTCTTTTGTTCTTATATGAATCTTTAGTTGAATGCAAATGTGAACAACTTTCAAAGAAAGTTTGTGAATGAAGTAAGAAGATGTGAATCCTTAGAAAGGATCCTTCGTAAGTAGTTTTTAATTTATTGAAAATTAAATTTATTGAAAACTGTTCTTAGTCAAACAATCTCTGGAATGTTTTAGTATACTGAGACAGCAATTATTAGCACTTTTCAATTTAGCATTTTAGAAGTCCCCAGAAATTGAGCGAAAAGGGGGGGGGGGGGATTACTATCTGGAAAGGAGGCACTGTTTGCTGTAGACTACTGTAGACCATGCACAAATGAGCAGAGAGTTCCAAAGGCAGATTTCAGATTCATAAAAATGGATTGCAGTAAAAATTTTTGCTGGAGATCTTGTGGAGTCTGCTGGTCAGTGCCAACATTACAGGGTTAGGTGCACAAATAGTCCTTGCTTGGAAAAGGTAACCTCCTATGGGTGCACACTCAAGGCTGTAGTTACCTAATCCACATGGGTTAATGATCTGTGTGTATGTAAGGAGGGAGGCTTAAAACTGAGATTAGATGCTTGCTTCTTGGATACCCTCTTCCTAAACTGTTAACCATCACCCCTTCCAGGTCTTTTTTTATTTTTGAAAAAGTTCTATAATTTTCTGTAGATCCTTGGCAAACTAAGGAATAAAATAAATGGGTTCAACTTTCCATAGATTTAATGTACCTTTTTTTTATGAGCAATGCCTTCTACTTTGTAAAAATGAGAAGTGGGGCTGAAAATATTGCTCCATGTTTCTTCCAGTGATGCCATCATACCATTGCCAAGCAAGAAGACCAGAGATCTAAAAAGGGGCACCCTTACCCACTCAAAGGTTGCCTGCCCTGGTGATGAATGCAGAGGATATCTCTTAATGAGGCACAACTTGTGGCTCCATGTATTAAGCAGATGAAAAGTTAGGCAATGCCTGTGTTTGCACAACATCGTTAATCACCAAAATTGCAACTAACCAAGCTTTGTATGGTGTGGAAAAGGCAGCAAAGTGTGTTTTGTGAACTTAGCCAGTGTGTTTCCATTTGTTTTGCTCCCAGGCTTTCTGGAAAGTGAGATGGGGGAGGAGATCCTACCTGTCACATCTGAGAAATATCCAGAGACTCCACCACCTCGAGAAATGATTGACTTAGAGGTAAGCTTAGTATGCTTCTGGTTAGAGAAGCATGGTAGATAGTTGTGTTGACCCAGCAGGAGAGAAAAATCCAAAATAATACTAGGACAAGATCTTTATAAGCACTCAGAATAAACTAGTTTATTTGATAAAGAAAGTTTATAAATGCTACAGCTTGTTCAGTTCTGAAGGCTACTTAGTTGTAGCTCTGGCTTTATCTTGTTTTAACCTTCCTACATCTACTACTCTTTCTTTTTTAAAAAAATATTTCATTTTACAATTTTACTATTCTACTCTTATTTTATTGTATATTATGGCATGTTATATGTTATAACCTGTGGTTACAACAATAAATGTACTTACTTACTGACTTACTTATATAGTTCTCATCTTCCCCAGCCAACATAGCCATGCTGGTTGGAGATTATGATATGTATAATCCAATACATTGTGAAGGCACCAGATTGAGAGTGGCTGCTCTACCTAATTTTTAAACCTGGGAGCACAGGAATTGTGCAATCTAGTACTTTCTCAATCTTGACTAAACTCTAAACGCTAAGCAGGGTTGCACTTAGTTGGTACTTACATGGGAGACGACAAAGAAATACTAGGGTTGTAGGCTAGATAGGGAAGACATACTGTACATACATACATACATTCATACATACACACACACACACACACACACACACACACACACAAAGACAGTGTCAATGAAGTAACAAGAAATCACCCTTGACTGGAAGGAATATTTTCTTCTTTTGTCTGTAAAGTCCAAACAGACAGTGATCAGAAGGGTTAATATTAAAGCTGAATGAAGAACAAAAGGTAGAAATATTTGGAAGCTTAGTGCTTAGCTAGTAAAGTTGTTAGAAACATGTTAAAATCCCTCACTGTTTTACCTAATGCAGACAGAAGGAGATGTGTTGGATTTTCTGATAGTTATTTTGCTGTCTGCACCCAATTTGTGTCATTTGTGAATCATTCATACCCAGAAGTAGTGCTGAGATGTTAATATTCACTGCAAGACTGCCTAATATGCTGAGATGCATTCTGAAATGTTTGCTGTATAATAATCCATCTTTAGAGTAATCTATTTTGTCAGCAGTGAAGCATATGACAGAACGATTGGACGTACCGTACTTTTGTTTCTCTCTGGCTATAAACAGACTGTCTTGGAGAAACTGGAAGGAGAGTTGGAAGAAGCCAACCAGAACCTGCAGGCATTGAAACAGAACTTTCTAGAACTCACGGAACTCAAACATCTCCTGAAGAAAACCCAGGACTTCTTTGAGGTGACACAGTCTTTAAATGTATTCTTGTTATTTCGGGATCTTATTTATTTGTTTGTTTGTTTGTTTGTTTATTTTAAAATTTATATGCCACCCATCTCCTCCAGAGGGTGACTCTGGGTGGCTTACAATTAAAATTCCATCCACATCCACCCTCTTAGACTCATTTTCTGGCCACCATTTTTGGGAATTTGGGTCCATCCCACCTAGCCATCTCAGGGACAAACTATGGGCCTTTCCATACTTGCATCCAACCATGGACATTTTTATTCAGTTGTCTCTCATGGCATTGCCTTCACCTCATCCTCAGTCCACGCATGAGGAAGCCTTAAGAGTTAAGGCTTAGCTGTTCCAATATTAAAAGTATTGTGGAGTCCTTGATGCTCTCTGAGCTTGGTTATTTGCTTGCAGATGTTTCATTACCCAGCTAGGTAACTTCATCAGTACCATATGTGATCAACTGTGTGCTTCTGCAGGTCATTAAGCCTATTCCTACAATAGTTAAATGGTAGAGGCAGAAAAACAACATCACAGAAAGGAAGCAAAAATATCAATCTTCATAAGGGGGTTTAATATGTTAAGACAAGGCATAAGCAAGGTAAACCAACCTTAGAGGAGATAGTGTGATTTTAATAGGCTAGCACATTTTTAAAATAATGTGATAACTGGTAGCCATGAATAATAATGGAGGTATACATAAATAAAACATTTTTAAAAAATGGCAGTTATCTTGTTGGGTAATGAAATGACTGCAATCAAACAACCAAGCCCAGTGAGCACCAAGGACTCCACAGTTCAACCTGAGCTACAGATATTCTCTTCTATTCTCTCCAGATGACCACTAGATGATAGCAGTACACTGGAAATTTCTATCATCCTTAGCTGCCATCTAGTGGTTTGTCTGGATTTATGCAACCCTTGATAGCCCTGGACTCCAAATTGCAACCAATGAGACAACAGAAGAGGAGACCAAACAGAGCCGAGAAAAAATGGTGGCCAGAAAATGAGTCTAAGAGGATGGAGGTGGATGGAAAGCAAAGTTTTTAAAAAAATTCCAGACTTTTGGCATAAGTCTAGACATCTCACCAACTAGCAGAAAAAACATGGCTCAAGCCATCAGTCAAAACTCACCCCGTCTGCTAAATCCCTTGCCCCACTGTGGTGATATCTTATTGCCCGTTGGTGATATTCAGGGAGGGGAAGGGTAGCAAAACAGAAGGTTTAACCAATTATTTTGCTTTGGATACATGAAAGCAGGACACCATTTGGTGGCAAGCCAAAACAGAGGCAAAAAGATGCAGGATCAGCGGTGGGGACAGTAATTTTATGCCGATATAGTTTCCACTGACTCAGCCACAGGATAACACCTGGCAGTGAGGGAAAGCCCTCTATGCAATTATTGCCTACGCCAGTGCTTCTCAACCTTGGCAACTTTAAGATGGGTGGACTTCAACACCCAGCCAGCAAGGAAATTCTGAAGCTGGGGAATTCTGGGAATTGAAGTCCACCCATTTTAAAGTTGCCAAGGTTGAGAAACACTTGCTTAAGCCATGACTTCTCTGGGCATGGTGTAATTTATATCAAAGAGGCCCAACCCATTTATTCAGTCTGGAATGGATGGATTCTTTCCACACCATTCCCCACTGTACACTGTGCACACAAGCACACATCAATTGACCAACTGAGCTAAGGTCAGTTCAGGCAACTTTTGTTTGCTCAGCGGGTTGCACTTCAGTTTTTTCCTCCATCTCTTTGCTTCACAGTGGCACACACCGAGTGGTGCGGATGTCAATCAGCTGTCTTTTTTGTGTGTTTTCCATTCAAAATAGGTGTGTTAAGCCTCTTAGCTCTATTAGAATCCTCAGTGTGCTGAGTCTGACCCACATGGGTCAGGCTGCAATTGCTAGCCTCCAGGAAGCTTGGCCATGGGCTGTGCTGGTGAGATATAGTGGGGTCTGCAGGTCAACATAACTGAAAGGCTTAAGGTTGAGGAAACCTGCACTAAGCTGACCAAACCCAAAGCCACTTGCTCTATAAAGTCTCCCCTGAGTCTTCTTGGCAACAATATGGAAGTGGTTTGCCATTTTTTACTGCTGAGATATTCTTTTGAATTCTCTGATGTCAGCCTTGCAAGGCAGTCCAGACAGGAAGCATGACCACATGAACTAATTCTACTTTATCGTAAGGTTACATAAACAGAATCTTGCAAGTCTAAAATTACATCTCTTCCCCCATCACCTTTACAGGCCAAGAAACTAGGGAGGTCTCTTTTGAGATGCTTGCCATAGCCATATTCCTTCTGCAGGCTAAGCTGCCTCATATCCAACTCTTCCCCGATCTCCCAAGGTCATTCCCACATACCATTACATCAGCCCAACCAATGACCCTGGGATTTCTTACTGATCTCCCACCTAACATCAGCCAAGGTTGGCTAGGTGTTGCTGTGTCAGCCTTCCCTTGTAGACCAGATCAGGAAACCAGCTCTTCAGAAAGCTTAGAGCTATACTTCTGGAGATAGACTACAGTAACAGAACCTTGCAAGAACAATTGTGCTGTACTTCCTCTCCTTCTTACACTCCAGTGAATCAGGGAAGAGCCTGCCTGAGTCTCTTCCTGATACTATCTGACTTCCGAGAACTTAAGGCATGTTTCAGCCCTCTTTGCTTATGTAATAGTTCTTGCTATTTCCCTTGTCATCCCTCTGACTCTCTATATGCTGCTTCCAGCTGGATATGCCCCCCTATGTCCTTCCCCAATATTGTGGCCTTCAGATGTGCTGGATTGAAGCTTCTGTTAATCCCTCAGTTAGTATCTAACATTGCTATTGTATCTAGTTTCTCAATCTTGGTGACTTTAAGATGTGTGGACTTCAACTCCCAAAATTCCCCAGCCAGCATACCAACATCTTAAAGTCACCAAGGTTGAGAAACACTGATCTAGAGGATACTAGGTATGGGAAGGTTGTCCTAAAACCACAAGTAATAATAAAGAGGGTCTTTGATTGGCTGAGTTTTGAAATAGGGCTTTAAGATAAGCCTTTCTCCTCTTTCAGACTGAAACTAATTTGCCTGATGATTTCTTCAATGAAGACACTTCAGGGCTGTTGGAATTAAGAAGCACTCCTGCAGCAATTGCTGCGAAATTGGGGTGAGTATTGTTTCTGTTGTGCTGCATCCACAATGTTTATGTCTTAGAGATGCAGCCCCTAATTCAAGCAACTCACTGAAGTGAGCACAGTTTCTCCTGGCTGGGTGCTGCTGGTGAGAAGAAGGTTCCTTTCATTATTTAGCATTCCTGAGCAACTTAATATTTTCCCTCCCTGGGCTGCAGAGGCACCCGTGAGGCAGCAAATGATGCAATCGGGATCACGCCTTTGTAACACAAGCTCCACCCTCTTGGAACGCGTGTCGCGGTGTTGCATGTATGAAAGGGGCTGAGCTTACCTCATGATGCTGATTTCATCATTTTCCTAAAAGCCTTCAGTCCTATAGATCCACCTCTGCACGGCACCCAAGCCCTTCTAACTACACCACTAAATTTCAAAGTGCTACCATTTTGAGACAGAAAACAAGAAAGCTATAGAATAATTTATTTATTTATTTATTTTATTTATTTATTAAATTTTTCAACCGCCCATCTCCCCCCAATGGGGGAACTCTGGGCGATTCACAACAAACATTAAAAACATAAATATATATAAATACATAAAACATTAATTAAAAACATTACTGAAAAGGAGATGGAGAGTCCAAGAGGTTGAAAAATCTGAGGCTGAAGACAGAAGGCCTCTATGGGGCTAGCCATCCCCACGCTTGAGGTATTCCCTGTATAATCCTTAACAATGTTTATATCTTAGAGATGCAGCCCCTAATTCAAGCAACTCACTGAAGTGAGCACAGTTTTATTTATTAAATTTTTCAACCGCCCATCTCCCCCCAATGGGGGAACTCTGGGCGATTCACAACAAACATTAAAAACATAAATATATATAAATACATAAAACATTAATTAAAAACATTACTGAAAAGGAGATGGAGAGTCCAAGAGGTTGAAAAATCTGAGGCTGAAGACAGAAGGCCTCTATGGGGCTAGCCATCCCCACGCTTGAGGTATTCCCTGTATAATCCTTACATAGGCTTAGTTTAAAAAAAAAAAAAAGAAGGGGACAACCCCCCGAATTCTTCCCCACCAAATATTTTAAAAATCCAAAGCCTGACCTATTTCCACACATAAAGCTAAACCTAACCCTGTCCGCTTGCATCTCTGCCCCACTACTGTGACCGTCACTCAGTCCCTAAGCTCCTCAGGGAGTGCCAGCCCTTAGCTCCCAAAATTTGCCCACTCTGTTTTAGGATATTTCATACTATCTGAGAATGCTGTGAGTTACAATCCCAACACATTCAGAAGCTGCCGTGTTACAGAAGGCCACTATAGGAACTGGTAGTAGATTTACAACTGGTATAATTCCATAAGCCAATTAAGTTTACAAGAGTAGATTTACAGTATATTATATTTGGTAATATATAATACCCATTCCATAGGTTCATAGCTGGTGTGATTAAAAGAGAGAGGCTGGTGCCTTTTGAACGTTTGCTGTGGAGAGCCTGCCGGGGAAACATCTATCTGAAGTTTAGTGAAATGGATACACCCTTGGAAGATCCTGTCACTGTAGGTGTAGACAGGTTTTTAATTTTGTTGCCTCAGATCTTTTATTTGGGATATCATGTTATGGAATTACTGGGACTGTATTTGGTCACCTCCGTGATTATTTTGAAATTCTTTCTACTTAAATCACATTTCCTTCCCCAGAAAGAAGAGATGAAAAAGAACGTATTCATCATCTTCTATCAAGGGGAGCAGCTGAGACAGAAAATCAAGAAGATTTGTGATGGGTGAGAAAGAGCATTTTGACTGTAAATGAAATTAATGCATCTTGAGTTGGCTTTTCACACTGATCTCAGTGGAACTTTAATGCACCTAACTTAGACAGGATCCAACCCAGAAAATACAAGGTGTAATTAAATTCAGGGATGGGGCACGCTGATATAGTCCAGTTTGGCCACTCTGTGTGAGATTTAAACCTTTACTCATGTCTCCCTGATAGATAGTTATCACTATCACAATTGCTTCCAGTTCTGTAGCTGAAGTTCATGTTAAACATGTCCCATTGATTACAGATGTTTGGGGATAAGGACAGCTCCTTAAAGAGCCAAAATGATATCATCCATGCCCAAGAGTGAAGTTGGAGGACCTCAGAGATCTGCAGTAGTTTAAAAAGCTTGAATACCACCACATTTTATGAACCTAAACCAATGGGCTCAGTGGGACATAAAAAGCTTGTCTTTTTTGGGAAGGGGTGGGAGGGAGGAAAGAATGCAAAAACAGGAATTCTATTAAACCATGAACAAGAAAACCCCATCTGCTGTGTAATATTCTTTGCCCTGCAGGAATTCAAGATTTCAGATTACTGCTAAGCAGTATTACTTGTATTTTATAAAATGTGTGTCTCTTGTTTTTTGCTGAATGTTGTTCTTAATTTTTAACACTAGAGAAATTAATTAGTGTTAAATTTAACTACCAGATTTATTAAAATGGGAAGCAGAACAAAACAATAGGCATTTCCCCAAGCCTTCTCTCTTTCAATTGAGGATGCTCAAATGCTAATAGGAACTCTGCAGCAGATTTATCAATTTCAAGACTCTCCGGTGAATTGTTTGTGAGCTTTCCTAGATGAAGGTGTCATTAAAGTAAAACTGACATTCTGACAGGCAAAACTGACATGCAAAAGGACTGTGAAAAGATCAAAGCCATAGTGCTGAAACCTTGTGGGTGACGGGGAGAGGGGAGTGAATGTAGCTTGTGTGGGCTCTTTTAAACAGGAATATATTTTTAGGTACAATTTAAAAACTTAAAAGTTCAGTTTAAAATCTAGGCTGAGCATCTAAAGGTTCTCCTAATGAAGGATTTATTCATATGCTTCAATGGATGGTTTGGTTTTTATGGAATATATTGTTGGAGAATCCATACCATGTTTGAAGCTGAAGTGATGTAGGCATGTGCAACAGCATTGGGGGTGGGGTGGGGGGCAAAATAGTGTGATGGAAGCCCTGCCTCTTTTGTATGCACGTGTACAAAAGGAGCAAGGTTTGCACTGCAATATTGTGCTCACCATCTTGCAGATGTTGATCCGCCCAATGGTGCCCCTGGATATATAGCACTTTTTTCCCCAGTTTCAGCTTGCCAAGTAATGAAAGGTCCAGTCACTCTATACAGCATTGGAACAAATCAATTTGGCTTTTAAAATAATCTAGCCTAGAAATGAAGTAAAAAGATGTGTTAAGCCTCTGGTGGTCCCTGCAGGCTCAGTGACATCTTGACATTCCCGCCCTGCTCTCTCTGTCCCATAGTCGCTGAAAAATAATAAAGTTAATTAAAAAATCCAGACCCTCTTTTATGATCCACATTATGGGGAAAAGGTAGGTAGGCAGATGGTGCTGAAAGGGTAAATGTTGCCCCTTATCCCAGATCTTGGCTTCACCAAGAGCAATAGATAGGTTTAGCTCTGGTTTTTTCGCAAGAGACATATGAAGAAACAATGATATAGCATCTGTTTTGGAAAATAATGTTGCAGGGGAAGCAAAACCCTTCTCATCCACCCTGGTACCAACCTTTCTGTACCCTGTTCTTGTACAGCTCCGGTGTCATGTGGAGGAACAGCCAACAGTGCAGAAGATAAAAATTAACCATAACCCTATTCATTCATTCATTGATCCATTCATTCATTCATTTATGGTCCAAGACCATTTTTTTAAATACATAATACAACAGTATATGAAATAGAAAACAGCCATAAACGTGTACAGGAATGCCTGAAAACAGTTATTAGTGTGAAGAAGACACCAGGTGCCTCCTGTAAGCTATTGCTATTATTAGAAATTTGGCAGCGTTTTTAGAAACAGCTCAAGTTTGGTCTCTTAGGGGGAGAGCAATGACTTCCTATTAAGATTTCTAACAATTAGTGTTACAAGTTCTTTCCTCCATTTAGTATACAGAGATCACTCTAATAGTGCATAAGACACAGATTTGACTACTGTGCCAGAACATATGCAGGTACATATCAGCATCATAGGGGTGTTGAAGTATCCATCAGTTGTTGCTGTAATAGGTGCCTGGCTAATTCAAGCCAAAGTGAAAAGCTTTCTATGTGCAAGATGTTTTTTCAAAAAGTATCTGGGAATGGAAGTGAGAAACCGAGGTTCTATTTGTTTGAAGATCTAGGTCCCAAATCTAATGCTGGGAATGAAAAGCCACAATAAGCCAAATCAAAATTGATTTCTTTCCTTAGAGAAGATTCAAATGTATCTAATAAATTAAGGTGAACTAAGGATGATCCCCAAACAATTTGCTTCAGCCAATGTTTAAGGCAGCATAGCCTTAGATGAGTCCCAAAGGAGATGCTGTCTAATTGTAACCAAACAGGAGAATTAACAATGGAGTAAGGAACTTGGGTTATGGCCTTTAGGAATTTAGATTTAATAACTTATAAGACTGAAGCATCCATTTGGATAAATATCTGCATGCCATCTAGCATCAGACCCAAAACTTTAGCTTTGAATAGTTTAATGACTGCTGGTACGTGTTGACTTATGTATCTAATAATTGCAAAGAAAGTTTTGGGGCTGTTATAAGGAGCTCCCTTGCTTGATTGGTTCAGGGAATAGAGGATTGAAAGTGAATACCTAATTACTTAAAAGTCATAACTTGCTCAATAGATCTAGGAGCTCCCTTGCTTGATTGGTTCAGGGAATAGAGGATTGAAAGTGAATACCTAATTACTTAAAAGTCATAACTTGCTCAATAGATCTAGGAGCTCCCTTGCTTGATTGGTTCAGGGAATAGAGGATTGAAAGTGAATACCTAATTACTTAAAAGTCATAACTTGCTCAATAGATCTCCCAGCTAATTGGGATCTTGAAGAGCTTTCTGGGAAATATTAAAACTTTTGTTTTAGAGTAATTAATCTCAAGTTGTTCCCTAAGCCAGTAAAAAGATAATGCTTCAGGGCATCTATACAGGTTCACTTGAGTTATAGAAAGAATAGCCACGTCATCAACATATAAAAGAATAGGAATGGGGCGATGCGTAAGAGATGGAGAATAAAATTCTAGTTTAGCAGAAACTTCAGCAATATCATTAATGTACAGATTAAACAATAATGAGGAAGAATACAGCCTTGCTTTATGAATTTTAGGGTGGGAATAGGTTTAGTTAAGTCTCCTTTAGATTTACCTTCACTTGCATGGTGGTGTCAAGATTTCATCAGTTTAAGAAAACAGTGATCAATCGATGTTGCAGCGAGTTTTCTCCAGAGTCTCTTGCATGGTAGAGAGTCAAAAGCGGTCTTTAGGTCTATGAAAGCAGCATAAAAGGCACCTTTGGGAAGACTATAATACTTCTCCACTAGATGATGTGATATTGTACATTGGTCCATAGTTCAGTGACCAGGTTTAAACCCTGCCTGTTCTGTGACCAAGATATTCTCAGAACACATCCATTCCAAAAGTTTATACTATAGAAATCAGGCATCTTATTTGCTAATTACGGATAAGAGACTAATAGGGTAGTAATTTGCATGATCAATAAACAATGAAAAGTCCAGCACAAGTGAAGCATTTTTATAGATTCTCTAAAAACAGAATGGGAGCCAAACATCACTCCCAAGAGAATATCCTCCATAGCCTGGGAGCAACACAGAGAAAGCCTTCTCCTGCATGTCAGGTAGATGAGTCTCTGAGAAGGATGATTCCAGAAGAGTTCTCCTAAAGAACTTAATGGCCTGACAAGCCCTTAACAGCCCTTAAGCCATTTAGCTAGTCAAGTCTTCAGCCATTCAAGGCTTTAAAAAGCAATCTCATATCTTAAATTGTGCCTATTAAGCAGTTGGCAACCAGCGTAGATCTTTCAGTACAAGCCTCCTGGGATCAGTGTACTTTGTACTGGTTAGCAATCTAGCTACTGCCTTTTTCAGCCATTACTTCCAGACCTTTATTATAAAGGTAGCTTGACATAAAGTGCCCTTCAGTGGACAGGATGGGATGCAACCAGTCTTGCTTCATCATTAGGTTCCGTGCCACGATATATCCCTGCCCCGAGTCAGCTGGAGAACGCCGAGAAATGGCTGCTGGTGTGAACACAAGGATTGAAGATCTCAACACAGTAAGTAGCCTTTGGACTTGCTTGGAGTGATAGGGTATGCTGTATGTCAGCATGTGCCAACCTTTGGCAGCTACTGGAGTTTGGATATGTGTCCTGGCCTCCTTCCCAGTGTGCCAATCAACAAGCAGCTGGGTCTGAAGACCATCATCTTTGTTTCTTATAATGCTTCAGAGCCACACCATTTAGGGCATTATGGGAGATTAAAATGGCAGCTGCCATTTAAAATGTGTGGCAACTGTGGCTGCCATTAGGACTTATAGCAGGTACAACAGTAGGTAGGAGCGGGGCGGGGGGCTGCTGATATGGGAATGGAACGTTCTGAGGGAGATTAGAAAATTAGTCCAATGGCCCAAGTAATGGGATAGAGCAAATATAAACTATGAATCTCAGCCAATTCTCTCATCCTACACATGTGTTGGTCTGTAACTCCCAGAATTCCTCAGTCAGGAAGGGCATTCTGCAGGCTGGCTGAGGAATTATAGGAGTTATAGCTCATACATCTGTTGGGCTCCTAACCTAAGCTTTTGCCTCTACTTACAGGTGATCACCCAAACTGAGTCCTATCGACAGATGCTATTGAAGGAAGCATCTGCAAACCTGTGGACGTGGGGAATCAAGGTGAAAAAAATGAAAGCCATCCACCATATCTTGAATTCTTGTAACATCGATGTCACCCAGCAGTGTGTCATTGCAGAGATCTGGTTCCCTGTGGTAGACACCCCCAGGATAAAAAAGGCACTGAATCAAGGAATGGTAAGGCAAATTCTGTCATTCAATGCAAAAGATACATACTGAACTGAGTGTCCTGAATCTGTGGCAGAGTACTTGCTTTGCATGCAGAAAAAGGACTGTGGAGTCCTTGGTGCTCTCTGAGCCTGGTTGTTTGCTTGCAGATGTTTCATTACCCGATTGACTAGGTAGCATCATCAGTGCTGGATTAACACCAGACAAACAATCAAGCAGGAAACAATACCCTAATCAAGGAACTACCAAGGAGAAAACCACACCCCCACCAACACTGGCAGGGAAAGCCACTGTACATAAACAGGGATCAAACCCCACACTCACTCGCGCTGATGATGTTACCTAGTCAGGTAATGAAACATCTGCAAACAAACAACCAGGCTCAGAGAGCACCAAGGACTCCACAGTTCAATCCTGAGCTACGCATATTCTCTTCTATTAGTGGATGTTGGATACTGTAGAGAGTAAGGAACATGACCTTGATGGAGGTATGCAAGCTCCATTAGCAAAGCAACAAGGGGTGAAACATGTCTCAAGTCCACAACAGACATAATATTTTGAAGAGGCTCAGCCAGATATCTCCTAATTCACAGAGGTATATGAAAGAGGAGGTGGTACAGCTTTGCAGATTTGCAAGATTTTGTTGTTATAGCCAAACTCAGTAAAAATATGTATTGTCGAAGGCTTTCACGACCGGAATACGATGGCTGGTGTGGGTCTTCCAGGCTGCGTGGCCATGTTCTGGAAGTTTTGTTTCCTAACGTTTCGCCAGCATCTGTGACTGGCATCTTCAGATCGTGCCAATCGGGTCTGCGAAACACAATTCCTAAACCCTGAACTTAACCATCTTAATTGGGTCCTACAAGCAAATGGCTACTCCAAGAATGAAATAAAAAGAGCCATCAAACCAAGAAAACAACATGC